GCCCCAACGCGCGATTGCGAACTTCACATGTCTTTGAAATGTTTTTTTTTCTTATTTCTCAGACATGCAGGTTTCCTCACGATGTTTTCCTTCACCGCCGAGCACGTGAAAAATCAGCACTTAAAATTGTAGATAACAATTTCATTGGTGCCGGCGAGCATCGAACCCGGGTTGCACGCGTACTGTGTATAGAAGAATGAAAGCTTCGAGCTCAGAATGTGAAATTTTTGATTCTTTTTAGTATTTCATTTCAGTTTTATCTTTTATTTCTAGAAGTAAAAAGAAGTCTGAAATTTCCTTCTTTATGGAGATTTATCGTTTTCTTTTTATTATTCTTTTTATAATAAATACTAGCAATGCTATTCACATTACTATTATTCCTGTAACCACTCCTGGTAAGCTTAAAATGCTTGAGTTGAGAGTGGTTCATGACAGTAGTCGAATGGCGGATTCAAACCCACTACCTTTAGAGTTCGCGGCTCGCACCTTGACATTATGTTACTGTCGTTTTAAAAAAAAAATATAAAATTGATAATAAAAGACGTGACTGGAGAAAGGTTCCATGATAAATCTACAAAAGTAAATATCTCTGTTAAAAAACCTTAGACAGCACTGAAATGTTTCTAGTGAAAGTATCAGGTCTAAGTCATGAAATTATTGTATAGACAGCGGTTAAAAGTTTTTAGACTTTCGGAAGTGTAGGAAAACTGAATTCATTCTTACATACCTACATACATACTCGTATATAGAGCAACACGGACCTCCGCCCCCGGTGGTCTATGTTGCTCTATGCCTACTAACGAACATGTCAAGCTACCATAATATCATTAAGATGATCATAATAATATATAATCCAGACATTACAATACGCCACTTCGCATTCCGTAAAAATAAACACATGCTTCGGTTGCAGTTCTCCTTGAACATATTTTAAGCGAATAGAGATTGTTCGTATACAAAAAGCAAATACATATATTAGGAGGAAAAATAAACCTTTGTTGATTCTGTGTATGCTTTGCGATATTCTTCGTGACTTTAGTTAACTATATAAAGCTACATGTTTTTTTTTTTGGAAAAAATATTGTACGTTAAAAAGTTAATTTCATAATCAAAGATCTAAACAGAATAATATATTTTCAATATCTAAAGTTGGTGGTAAGCTAAGACACAGTATATAAATAAATTAAAGCCTCGACTTGAGAATGTTATATTATCTTTAGTTTTTTGATATCGGCTCCAGGGTGGCCCGCGAAATTCAAATTTTCTTACGTTTTTTGGAATTTGCAGATCAGGGTCAGGTTGAATATTTAACAAAATATGATTCGCGACCATAACGAGTATGTGTTTACAGAATTATAATCATTCTAATCATCCATACAACCCTCTAAGTTCGTATAATTCCATTGTATGGCTATTTACAGAAAAATTCATTCAAAGGGATTATATGAATATTAAACATATAACCTGACACTGAACTGCAAATTGCAAAAAACGTATGAAAATTTGAATTTCCCGGGCTACCCTGTAGCTTCCACCTTAATGTTTTTTTCAAGAATTTTTATATTGCCAATGTGTATTAAAAGGAAAATGTGTGGACTTTTATTTGCTAATTTTTAGTAAATTTCATCGGCGATTCGTATCAGTTTTGTATCTAGTTAGTAGTTCCTTTAAGTCGATCTGGATTTCAATCCCTGTGATTTTTTTCTCTAACGCCGAGTAAAACTCGGTCGCCATGGTACTATAAATATTTATGTAATTATATGCTCGGAAAGATCATGATGAAATTTTGCATTTAGGATAATGTTTTACTTTCTAAGTTTATCTAGATAGGTTTTACTGTAAAGAAATAAAATATTCTAGCGTCGAGACAAGTTCGGTTATTCAGTTACTATTGTATTTATATAATATTATGATTAAAGTACTATTGCACATAACACGGCAGCCCGCCACTAGATGGGAGTGACAATCTGGTAAGACATGCAAGAAGTCGATGGATGCAGGATGCTCAGGACTGTGCTTTGTGGCGTTCCTTGAGGCAGGCCTATGTTCAGCAATGGACTTGTGAAGGACTGTAATGATGATGGTGATGGTGATGCACATAATATGTAGGTTTACTGAACCGTGACGAAATTCAAAGACTGTTTATAAAATTTATCAACGACGCAATAATATACACTAAATTATATTACGTACACTGTGTAAATATATGTTTATTATAATGAAGAGTTTCATAACTTAATGCCATTATCAGCTAAGCCTTGAATGGCTCATCTTGAATCCAGCTGACATATACAATCAGCAGTTAACTGGAATGTGCGTGAGTCATAAGATCAATGTTGCACACAAACACGTATTTATTGGTAACAGCCGCATCAATGTCCACTCTATTCATTATTCATAAAGAACCTAAATATATTTCAATTAAAGATGCTACTCGCCCGGTTAATGGAAAAACGCATATATTTTTGATTTTATAGAAACATACCCGTGTAACGTACTTTATATAGAAATTCGTAGATTTTAACCTTGTAGGGAAAAAGGACAGATTTAACACAAGTAGATTCAGTACAATAATAGGCTGCGAATTATTTCATCTTGGTCCAAGAGAGGACAACATATTATATTGTTTGTAGTTGATTGGTTTCAGGTATCCACGGGCTGCAGTAGCCACTAACGATTATGTGAACTGTGAGCTCGTCACCCTAACATTAAGAAAACAGTTGTTATGGTTACACTCTTTGTGTATTTTATGCCATTAGATTTATTTAAGAAGATTTTGTAAGGAAAAATCATCATGCACAGATATTATTATTGAATTAATCGGCCAGTGCACTTTTAATTAAATGTAATCTCATATACGCTACGCTCGAGGATTCTAACATTTCATCCCGCTATCTGTCTGAGATCAAGAAAAATTCCACAAGCTAACTTATGTGAAACGATATCCATAGTTTACTCGTAATGTGGGGTAATAGATTTGTCTTATGCAACCATCTCACCGAATTCGAAGTGTTTTACTTAATATAAACTTTATTGACTTATTTATATATAAAGGTCTCTCTGACAATAACTTAAAGTTTGATTTTAATGTATTATTAAATTTGTTTTAACGTAATAACTTATGTTGAATAAATAAACCGCCACCGTGCAGTAGCGGTGTAAGAATATCTACTACCCCATACCCTCTCGCGAAGTCGTAAAAGGCACCACAGTGAAACTAACCAGCAGATGGGCAGCAGCGTCTTCCTAATAACAACTCAAATTAATAAAAAAGCTCAGTTGTCAACCCACTTGCCAAATGTCGCAACTATGGCAAAATCCCTCTGTGAGGCAATATATGGGGGCTGACCTATGTTGAGCAGTGGACGTTATATAGGCTGTAATAGATGGATGGCTTTTTTTATAGGATAAGGTGACAAACGAGCACACAGTCCACCTGATGGTAATTGGTTCCTGTGGCCCATAGACATCTACATCTATCCTCGTTTGCGAATCAAAATGCAGATGCGTTGTCACCCGTGGGGATTAAGATGGAATGCCTCCTTTCCAGTAAAAAGGGTCTCCAGTTCTCTACACTCACCATACGAAACACAACAGTTTTAAGCTATTATTTTACGCTGGTATTCTGTGAGAGCGTGGTCTTTCCCCGGTCAAACCGACCCATTCGTGCTACAACTATACTACTAATATAGCTGCAGCATGGCTCTACCACGTATAAAAATACATAAACTCACAGCCTCGGCTTCTAATAAAACCCAATTGAACATAACGCCTCTTTGTTAGATACAAAGTTTATTACACATTTACATAATCTTATTAGGATTCAATACAAGAATAAAATGCGGTGGAAGCATTTGCCACTAAATCACGCATCAAAGACAAAAGCACTATTCAAACAATGCCCGCGTATACGTATGCGTAACCGATTACTTGTAGACTTCTTGATTTTAAATAAGAACTTTCGAATGAATTCTGAATTCCTGTCGAGTTTCTGGCTGATTCGTCACGAGAAGAGAGCTTTCCGAAACGGTTATTGTGTGACTTTTTTAAATTTTATAAATTTGTTGCAATTATTCTATTCAATAAAATTATAAAAATTCCAGGCAGTGAAGAAGATTGCAGATGAAAACACAACAAAGTGATAGAACCGTGTTCGATATACTGGAATAATTATGCTTTGTTATCTAAAATATGTGCTTAAACGTTAAACGTCCGATAAAAATCAAAGTAAACTGTGACAAAACACATCATCTGGACTAATAGGAGATAGTTTGCAGGATATTTGTCGTTTTTAGCTTAATCTTTTAAATAACTTCAAAATAAAATTTACGTATGTACTCGTAAAATGTACATAAAGTATGCTTTAGACCAGTTTCCCAATTAGTGATAAACCTACTCCCAGGAGTACGTGAGCTTGCCTGAGGTAAAAAGCTACGCAAAAAGAATAATCAACGTATTGTAGGTGTACATTGTGCACATTTTTTCCCATTGAACTTTAACCGATGTAATTTTAATTAATATTAAAATTTTTGAGAAAATATGATTTTATTTTATAGCTTGTGTTCTTTCTAGAAGTGGTAAGCAGAAAAAAATTATTTTGAACTTTGAATTTCATAATAGTTTGTTTTTTATCTAAAATTTATGTTTATGTTTTATGTTATGATCTATGTTTTTATTTGTATCTGGCCCTTCTCTTTTTAGTAATGTTTTAGTTCCTAATATACCTTTCCAAAATTCGTTATCAGGTCTGGGATTATATTATATACCTAATGTGCATTGTGCATAGCGAACCACTAAAGATTCATTATTGTTTGTAAAATGTATAATGCATTCATCTCTGAGATTTATGTGTTTTACGGACATGAATAAAGATGAGAATATAAAAATTGTATCGGCTAAAGTTTGCATTCCGACAAATATATGTTTAGATTTATACCCCTACCATACGTGTTTTCAGAATGCATTTTTTTTATAAACAACTAAAATAGTGGTATACTTACGGAGCTTGGTTTGTAATAATCCGACGAGATATTTTTGGTGCCGTTGATGGAACCGTAGCCGGTTGATGTGGGTGAACTGAGACTACCGCCGGGAGAGCTCAGGCGACCCGGGGAACCACCCCTGCCGATAGGCGAGGCAGTCCTGCCTGGGGACGTAGTTCTTGCACTCGGAGACCCTGTTCTTCCACTTGGACTTGATACTCGCCCGGGGTTTATGGAATTTTGCAGGTCGGCGAGGAGGGCGTCTGAAATGGATTACAGTAAAATGTGAAAAATATGTTTTGTTTTTATGTTCTAATGTAGATGATAAGATTTATGTGTATATTATGTCGTATCAAATATGGTATGACTGTCTCGTTGGTCTAGTTGCCGTAAGCGCGATCGCTCCCGATTTGGGATTCGTTACTAGGTTTTTCTGGCATAAAATTCTCAGTAACAACTAACGGAGTCGGGAAGTTGGCGGTGTTTTACCAACGTGCCTCGGAAAACCCATACAGCCGTTGGACCTACGGCTGATCTCTCTCCGGTCGTGTCGAATTACCATCCTATCGGTCTATGAGAGTGAGGGAATAGAGAGTGCAACTATGCTTACATTCGAGCATAATAATCCTGTGCCGCGCAGATGGCTAGTATCCGTTGAAACAACGTTCAGGTATAGATATTACGTGGTAGAGCCATGCTGCAGCTATATTATGGCTCTACAATGTGTCGACTCAACTGCGGAGGTACCACACTCGCACAGTATACCAACGTAAATTATTAGCATAATTTAAAAGTTTCGTATGGTGTTTGACGAGAACCGGAGACTTCTTTTACGTAATGTGGAACACATTTTAAACAGGAAGTAACCGAAAAAGAGATTTGTTCTTATTACTAAGAAAATTAAGTTGCTTACCAAACAAAACAAAATTTCATACAAAATATATGTTGATAATAAGTTTTCCCAGAGCAATTGTTTACTCTGATCTATCAATATGACAAAAAATCAGTCGAAGGAACTAGAACCAGAACAGTACGAAAAAGTAAAACTTTTATTAGAACCAAGGTGAAGAACCGTAACGAAATTTGGAACCGGTTTTCAATACCATGTTTTAAAATATATAAAAGTTTTTACTTCAACAGGATTTCAGAAAGTAACTTTATTTAATAACTGTGTATTAAAATCTTAGCTTTGCTAAAGTAAATAATATGTTAAAGTTATGTCACAGATAATTTTACTCAGTTTCTAACGAAATGTATTATACTATACTATTCTACTATTCTATTACTATTCACAATGCAGACCGCTAACACGAATTGAGGCATCTGACTGTAATTACTCCAAAAACATTCCCAGAAAAAGCAGGCATATATACTTTTATTAAGGAAAGTGAAAGGACATAAAATTATTCCACAATAATTATATGAGTGTTAAATAATCTAAAAGTACTTCTGTCATATGTGATAAGAATTAAACTTTGTATGTAATAGAAAGTAAATAACAAACTAACGGAAGATACTATTTTAGGACGAATTTGTTCAATAGGTATAAACAGATAAGTACGAAGTAAACTATTTGACCAGTGATGTCATGTTGTTAGAGTAAACCGAGCGACTCGTTTAATTGGTTGGCGCCATGGTCATGAATGTGACATTGTCACAGGCTTAATAAAATTCTGAAATTTATAACAGACATATATATTAATTTATAAAGTACTTAAATTAAATATATACCATATTGGGAAAAATACAAGATATTCATTACATACAATCACGTTTTTTATCTCTTCATCTTACTTCTCTTCTTAAAGGTCGGCGTATCGGTTGGGAAAAATCGCTGCTGCAAGCTGATTCATGTGGAATCAGAGGTCGTGCGAAAAAGAAAACTTCTGGTAGATAGCACAGTAGAAGATCGCCAAGTATTCAGATAACAATATCAAATATTGTCGCGATGTGGGATAGTAGAATTTGGCAACCGGAATTAATTCAAAAATTCTTCTGAGCACTCCCTTTGATAAATGCGATAGAAAATGAAAAGGGATGCAAAGGATGCAACTTTTCAACTCTAGTGAATCAAGCCGATAAGGTTCCGTCGTCGCTTCTCGCTAGATGCGGTCATTTGGAAGGCGATGGCAGCTAGCACCTGGCACTGGGGTGCCGAAGTTGCGTCTCGTAAAGTTGCAAGCGGTGTGTTGTCATTACTAATACTGTCCCGTTTTTCTGAGCACGCCGAGCTTTTTCAAGGCTAATTGGTAGTAATTTCCTTCCTATGATATGATATGTTGACGCCTAAGATATCGATGCTGGTTGGGGCAGCAAGGGGAATATGCCCTTTAAATTTGAGGAGATACGACAAAGGGGTTCTTTTAGTGATAAATGCGCGAACCTGTGTTATCTAAGGGGCTACGACAATCGAATCTAAAGGTAGTAAAAAAATGAAATCTAAAGGTAGGAATTTTTAGGAAAAAGCGTTTTATGTCGAATATGATCGAAGACTGTGTCCAAACTAACTGCTAAAGCCTGGGCCCGCCCTCTTGAAATCTACTGCTCCCGTCTATCTATAAGTCCAGAAAGCTAGAAGATCAGCAGTTGAGCGAGCGCGACAGAGATCGTATTGACGGTCACTAATCAACTGGAGGGCTGTATTATTTTGAAGTACAAGGAGCCGATGACGATAGGTTTGTAGTTAAACAGGTTGAGTGGTCCTCGTTTCAAGGGATCGGGTGCACCAAAACTATATATGAGTTAAAAGTTCTACAATATGTGAGTTCTAGACTACGTCTAGTTAGTAGGAGACTGAAAAAAACTCCGGTTCACCGACTTAGATTGGTATGTGATGGCTGAAAGAAATAGTGAACGATATATAAGAATGTAAAATTATGCAATTGTATTCATTAGAAAGGTTATGATTATTTTGTAACGGCCAATCATTTCTTTTCTTTATTGTAATTACCGTAATCAATTTCTTAATTAATTTTTCACGTCGTTAAATATTCAAGCAATACATGTATGTTGTATTTAAATTGCCAAAGTTTCCTGTATTTCGCGTCGTGCAGTTTGAAAACTTGTTTTCATTTGGACGAGTTCATTGGTCTTCTTACGCCTCCAGAACCACTTAGTGACGATTTATACATAACTGCAAACTTCGTCTGATTTACTTTTATGAATTTTGATTATATTAATTGTCATCTTTCCGTCAAAAAGCCGCTTCTGACGTTTAAATTCATACGTCAAGTATTTTTAAAGATATAATAATAATGAAGAAACTGGGGGCCAACACAAAACATTGTGTGATGCCAACATTAAATCAAATTTGTTATCCTTACGAGCCTACGATGCACAGTGATAAAAATAGATAAAGGGTATGTTTATTAAAGACCTGTGGCAAAAGTGAGATAACTGTAGCGTGGTAGATGATTGATATCAAAATTGTTAAGAGCTTGTTGATATATTGTGATCTTAATATAAAATAATATATAAAATCACCATAAAAATTAGTCCTTCGAAAATTTATCAAAGCAAACTTGCAATTGTAAATATCCTGCAAAACAATAATCCTTGATCTTAAAAACCTTTTCAAAATTAGTTAGTCGATGGATCGAATACATAGACAGAGCACCAAAAATCTCTAGGGGGATCAAAGTACAAAATTATTAAAGGTTAAGTTGCATATTATATAACTTAGCAAGACAAAAACATTTAGGGGTTTTTGGTGTATTAACATTAACAATTACCTAAAATTCAAACAATGAAAACAACCACTTTAAAATTAAACGAAATATAGGTTACCTAGTCCTTCGACTGCTTCAAAAACTTCCGCATAATCCGTATCCGTCTTTAAGTTAGAATTACTTTTTAAAATCTTCCCGTAAACATCATCATTCACTGTATAATGTGCCCTTGACATTTCGAATTAAAAATCTGAACACGACCGAATACACTATGAGGTTGTTTCGTACTGGCCAAAACCGAAAAATTCGCACTAACACTTTTGAAAAAAATAAAAAAATAACAACGAAAGGGCGAAGAGTTCTAAATTTAAATATCTCCTTTGCCCTTAGTCGGCAACGAGGCGCGGGCGACTCTGTTATGGACTAATGTTATACTGATTCACCTCATAGTGTTGAGCGCTGACCGCAAAAATCGCTCAGTTTAACTCATTGTTCACATAAATATTAGTTTCCTAGGCTAAAATATAAATTTTTATTAATCGATTATGTCAATCATATTTAAAAGCCTAATTATCTGATCAATACGTAGCAAAAATATAAAAACAATGTTAATAATTGGTATCAATGACACTTCACAGTAATTTAATTACTGTACGAAGTATTTCCATAATTTTAGTGTGATATAACATAATAACAGATATAGTACAAGCTTTTTCCTTCATTCTACTCGCGTGATTTTCGGCAGAATGTGAAGATAGGTACGATATTATGAATATAAATAACCTCAGTGCTTTTTGGCCAAGATTGGGAAATTGGCGCTTTGGAAATGTTTGGAAGTGGAACATTTCAGCCCTTTAAATGATTGAACGCTAAAAACTTATAAATTTTTATATTTGTAAGTTTAAACTATACAATATAATTAGTGTTCAAGGAGGTAAGAGGTGGATAGTAAATATTTCTTAGTATTTCTCTTGTAATTGGTGATATCTATAAAAGCACTTTAAGAAACTTCAGGGTTGCAAGATTGTAAAATTAAAATTATATACAGAAACTTTATAATTAGGCGTTTCTTTGTGTATATTGAACACAAAATATAAACTTAAATTTTGTCTTTGAGCCTGAGGTCTATTTTACTTTACGTCTGAATTCAAATCAAACTGGAAATTATAAATTTGTATACAATATGTTTATTAAACTGTATACATTATTATATATGTTGCTGCAACAGGTTCAATCGTAACTTAGCTTCAAAAGTACCTTGAAAATTTAAGAAATCTTGAAATAGAAGAAATCAGGAAAGCAATGTAACCTTAATAAACAATGTTATTAATAATGATTTTTATATTGAAGGTCAATTATGTATAATTAATTATAACCTTAAATCTCCTGGCAGCCCTGTATATCTCATCAATATACTTGCAGACGCTGCGCTGCGCTGGTCTGATAATCAAGGCGGCGCGGCGCGACGACGTCGGCGCATTGTTGGATGACGTGCATCCCATGGAATTTATTTTGCGTACTCTCTCTTTGTCTCTCAACAAGTTTGGTTCTATGATGTTCTTTTTGTAATAGCAAGTTATTTGCAAAATGCAATA